CGCCCCAGGCCCCACCCCTGCGCCCTCCGCGCAGCCCTGCCAAGCCCCGCTCATCCCCCAGAAACGGGGTGGCCAACAGGGCACGGACACGGGCAGCAGGTGTTGCTGGACCTCGAGGCTGCTTTCAGGGCAGGAAATGACGTTATTATGCCCTTCTCCCCCAGGTGGAGGAGGTGCTGGCGAGTTTGAAATTTGGGAGTCTTGGCCGGGCGCAGTGGCTCATGCCTGTAATCCTCGCACTTTGGGAGGCCGAGGCGGGCCGATCACGAGGTCAGGAGATCGAGACCATCCTAGCCAACATGGTGAAACCCCCTCTCTACTAAAATACAAAAAATTAGCCGGACGTGATGGTGCACGCCTGTAGTTCCAGCTACTTGAGAGGCTGAGGAAGGGGAATCGCTTGAACCCGGGAGACGGAGGTTGCAGTCCGCCGAGATCGCGCCACTGCACTCCAGCCTGGCGACAGAGTGAGACTCCGTCTCAAAAAAAAAAAAAAAAAAAAAGAAAAGGAAAAAAAAAAGAAAAAGAAATTTGGCGATCTGGTGATATGCGGATGGAATGACCTGTGAGTCCCTCTAGCTGTCCTCAACCTGCAGCCCAAATTATCCACCTGCGGAGGGGATCTTGGGGGCATCCTGGAACTCCAGGAGTCCGGGGGAAGAAAGGCTGGGAGCTGGAGAAGAGGAGGAGAAGCAATGCCAAGCCTCACAGCTGCTGGTTTACACACTCACACCCCAGCTGCACCTGGCTCCCAAACACTCCCCCGCCTGCCCACGTTTCCTCACACACACTCACACCCGAAGCACACAGAGGTGTGCTCTCAAATGCACACACACATACATTCACTCAGCAAATAGCTGCAGACTCCCCAAAACAAACCCAGTCTCTGAGCCCCCTCCATCTCCCTCCCCTCTCCCGACCTCACTCCCAGGGGCATTGCCTCAGTGGAACACTGTGATTTGGACAGGGAATGCGTCCTGACTTCTGCACACCCGTATATCACCTTTCCTGCATCCTTAGTTAAAAAAATCCTGAGCATTTACAATTCAACCAGTATGCATTTAGCACCTACTGTGAGCCAGGCCCAGTTCTAGGAGCTGGGAGAGAAGGGCGGTGACAAAAGAGACCAAAAAGCTCTCACGGAGATGTTAATGTGTTCCACATCGCCGGGCATGGTGGCTCATGACTGTAATCCTAGCACTTTGGGAGGCCGGGGTGGGTGGATCACCTGAGGTCAAGAGTTCGATGCCACTGCACTCCAGCGTAGACAACAGAGCGAGACTCTGTCTCAAAAAAGAGAAAAAAAAAAATATTTGAGACCAGCCTGGCTAACATGGTGAAACCCTGTCTCTACCAAAAATACAAAAATTAGCCAGGCACAGTGGCGCGTGCCAGTAATCCCAGCTACTCAGGAGGCTGAGGCAGGAGAATCGCTTGAACCCAGGAGGCAGAGGTTGCAGTGAGCCAAGATCGTGCCATTGCACCTCAGCCTGGGCAACCAGGAGTGAAACTCTGACTCAAAATGAATACATAAATAAATAATAAAATAAAAGTAATGTGTTCCACATCGCACGGAGCCTGAGAGGACAGGCAGGCACTCCTAGGACCACCATAGCAGCGACCCAGCCCTGGTGGCCAGTGCCCCTTCCCTCTTTACTAGGACTTTTATCCTGGTCATTCCTTTCCCTGTCCCCTCTTGTAAGGCTGTCTGGATTTGAAGCCTGGCCCCAGGGGACTGCATCCTCCAGGACGCTCTCCCCAGCCTCTGTGTGAGAAGGATGGAGGTAGGGAGGCTTTCATGCTGCCTGCCCCCTGAAGCTGAATGACCATCTCTACTGAATGAAGTGTTGGGGGGAACCCCCTAGGTGTTGGGCCTTCAAGATCGTCAGCTCCAGCAGCTCGTTTTTCTGGCAGGTCCTGGTATGACACGTTTGGCTCTGTTCTTTGCTCTGGAGTGGACCTGTTGATTCTTATCTGGCTGTCAGCTGAGGGGGAAGGGGAGGACAAACAGTAGTGTAGGCCTGGGAGAGAAGGGACTCTGGCAGAGCCTGGCCAGTGGACCTGCCAGGTGGGAGGCACAGCACAGATAAAGAGCCTGACCCTGGATTGTTCCTGATCTGTCACCTAATGGTGGGGAGAGCCCCACAGTGCTCAATGGGAGCCAGCCAGGGGATGGGTCAGGGTGGAAGCTGGCCAGGGAAGGCCAAGGCCTACTGATGGCTGGGAGGCAAACGGGATGCAAAATAACGTACAAATGAATACCCACTGGTTTTGCATACAAGGCTTCTGGGAGGTAAGAGGTTCCAGTCAGAGGGGTCTCTCTTGCTTTCACCTTTACATTCCCCCACTGAATTCCAGAATTGTCAAGTTGTGCAGAATTTTATAATAAAGTATGTGGATTCAACAAGCAACGTACTACCTTTTACTGTTATTGCTAAGATTTAAGTCAGACAGCCCGGCTACTTTGCTAGCTGTGTAACCTTGGGGAAATCACCTAACTCTGAACTTCAGTTTCTTCACTTGTACAAGGAAAATAGTAAGACCTGTCCAGTCTATTTCCTCGGGTGGCAGTGGATGTAAATGTAAATTATCACTCACTCATTCATCAAACAAATACTAATTATTTGTATTGGAGCCTTCCTTCAAAGTAAGGAAGGCTTCAGTACATCCAGGAGGGCAGATAGAGGGGTCAATTTAATTAGAAAGACGGGCTCAAGGGGTTTGAAGTCTGTCTCTCTGAGTCACTTAAAAACCCTGGGGCACTTTGAGTTCTACCAGCAATCAAACCAGATTCTAGAATTTTTTTCCAAGCTCCTTCCCAGGTCCTTGTCTGATCCCTGCCCCACCCCAACTGCTAGGAAGCTTCTGGGACCTGTGGAGGTGCAGCGTGGGGGCTGGAGAGGGAGAGCTGCCAGCTAGACCTTATCTCTCCTACTGATGTCGATGGCCGCATTCCTGACTTCTTGCAGCATGGGGCAAATACCGACCTCGGGCTTCCAGCACCAGCCTGCCCCTTCCCATCACTTCCAGATTCCTCTGTGGCTCAGGGCTTTTTCACTTTGTCACAGAGTCTCTCAGAGACCTGGGGTGAAAGTCTCGGCCCCCAGATTCCCAGCACTACTAGGGTTCTGGGGTGGGGATGGGAAGCAAGGTGGAAAGGGGGATGGTGTGATTGTGAGGACAGTCCCAGGAGAGGGTGAGAAGCTCCCAGAACAGACATGAAGAGTAATGAGCCTCGACGGGGGGAATCCGGAAGGAGGGGAAATGGTTCTCCACCCACCATCAGTCCTGCATTCCTTCGTCGAGCAGAAGGGGAGTGGGAACCTGCGAGGCAGGTTTAATTTCAGACTAGACTCAGAGATGACCTGATAGGGGTGGGTCAGCTCTTTCCGCCCCCTCCACATTCTCCCACCAAGGGCTAGAGCTGATGGCTCTGGGGAAACTAGGTGGTGGGGAGATGAGAGGATTAGGGAGGATTGGAAGGCCTGCAGTCCTTCCGCCTTCGCTTTAACGTTTAAGCTGGAAATGCCTTGCTCAGCCTGGAGGAGGGAGGTGTTTGGAACAGCAACTGAGGTGTAAGGATGGGGTCTATACACAAAACAGGGAGAGACCGATTCCCATCCTCTTCTTCAAAGACTGAGGGTGACTCCACTGTGTTGGAGACAGTGAGAAGGCCCTGTGGTGGGGTGGGCTGGAGGGAGGAGGGGATCGCCTCGGAGGCTCCCCTGGGCTCCCTTCAGCTACTGTCAGTGGAGGGTGCACCCATGCAGGGGGGCCTCCCACAGGAGAAATCCCAGGGCTGCTGAGTTAGGGGCAGAGCTGTTGAGACAGGGAGATCTGGGGTGGAAGTCAAAGGAAAAGGAATCTGGGGCAGAATGGGAATCCTTGTGCCCAGCCCTACATCTGGCACATAGGTGGAGCTCTGTAAATACTTTAGGTTTAAGTAATTAATAAACACGGGGTGCTAGGAGAGGTCAGTGGGGGTCATCAGAATGTGCAGTCAGGTAACCTGCAGAGAGACAGGAGGTGGGGGCAAGGGTACAGGCTTCAGAGGCAGTTGTGGGGCAGGCGGAAGATGCGGGTGGCAGCTGGGTGCAGGACCCAGTCTGATATCAAGACTTCTGGAATTTCAGCACCCTATTTGGAGTCCCTGGCACTGCCTGTGGAGGTGGGGAGAGATTCTCAGGGCTTGGGCCAGGCCCTCTCCCCCAGGGGTGGGACAGTCGAGGAATGCTCTGACACTTAGTGTCATTGCTTCGAACCCAACCGATTATTCTCCAACGATAAAGGAAGAGGAACGGTCAGCTCTGAGAAGCATGTGGCTGCCCAGGAACCTCCAGGCACTGAAGCTCAGAGAAGTCGGGGAACCTGGCCCTTCTAGGAGCCCCTCAGCTCCCTGGCCCAGCTCCCACCAGGAATGGCCTTGCCTGTGCTTATGTCCTTTGCCCCTTCTGACCCTGGTGCTGTTGGCTTCTCCCCAGGTGCAACCCCAGTATCCCAATGCCATACCCCCCAGCCTATCACTTCACTCAAATCCACCCAGAGATTAGGGGAGGGCAAAGGGATGAACAGGGCATTTGGTGTCAAAAGACCCAGATTCGGCCAGGTGGCTCATGCCTGTAATCCCAGCACTTTGGGAGGTTGAGGTGGGAGAATCGCTTAAGCCAGGAATTTGAGACCAGCCTGGGCAGTATAACGAGACCCTGTCTCTATGAAATAATGAAATATTTCAATATTTCATAATATTCCCCCCTTCTGGCTTAGTGATCTTCAGCAGCCTTTACTAGCCTGGTCTCTCCTCAAATGTAGAATGAGAATAAGAGTAACATCCACTTCGAGAGTTTTCATGAGTACCAAATGAGATCACATGCCTGGAAGAGCTTTGGCAGCTGAGAAGCCAACTGACCTCCCCTCCTTCTGCTCTGCTCCATTTGTTCCTTTTCTTCCCAGCCCCCTTGTTCTTTTGCCCTCACTACTTTCCATCCTTCTGCTCCCTGTTCACCACTATTTTTTCCCATCTAACCTGTGCTCAAGGCAGGGTGGCTAAGACTGAGTCTTTGAAAAGGGGGCTGAAATGGAAGAGCAGAGTGGCCAAGAACCTATCTCCAGATCATCCAGTCAACCGGCCCTGTTTCGGTCAGCCTCTTTCCTGGCCTAGGCTGGGCAGGTTCACCAGCAGTGTTTAGGGAACTATTCTGCGAGCAGCTAGGAGAGCAGGGCTGGAGCTTGGGAGAGGCATGGGGCAGGAGGTATGGATGCCAGGGTCACAGCTAACCTGCGGGGCCTTTAAACAAATTGCAGAGAGGCAGCCTCCTCCTTGTCTCCTGGCAGGGTGTACCTATGCACTGAACACTCTGCACGGCCACATGCAGCGGGCTCACCTGGAGCATCCCCCTCAAGGATTTGGGTGGAACCCAGTTGCGGGTGAGGTGGCCTAAGGAAAAGGATCAGGGAAAAGAAGGAGCAGAGTCAGCACAGAGGGACTTGAGGCAAGAAGAAGAGGAAGAGACAGAGGGAGAAGAGGAGAAAGAGGAGAAGGCCTAGATCTCTAAGCTTCCAGGAAGATACCAGGAGAGAGGGTGTTATGAAAGCCAAGAAGAATGAGGTTCAAGGAAGGGCAGTCCACAGGCCAGGTGCACAAAGGGATCAAGGAGGCTGAGGACAAAAAGAGCACTTTCAGTAGAGCGATGGAGCCGGGGGTGTGGACCAAGAGGGAGGAGTGAGAGGACCAAGTGGAGGCAAAATACAGACTTTTCTTTCAAGCAGTCTATCAGCAAAGGACAGGAGAAATCAGGAGGCCATGCTGTTGTTAGGTCGCAGAGTTGATGGAAGGTTGCCTTAGGATGAGACAGTTTAGTAAGGCTGATCAACAATTAAACAAGCAATAGCACTAAAGTGTGGTTGGTGCTATGTATGCCTGGGTGAGTCCGGCGAACAATGGAAGCCCAAAGCAGTAAACACTAATCTTGCTTGAGATTCTGAGGGAGTGGAGTGACATTTAAGCTGCAACCTGAAAAGTGATATCCTAGTAGGTGGCAGAACTGGGATGTATCGTGTGCAACCTCTGTAGGCTCCTGCCTCTCCAATCAGAAGCGTGGGGCAGAGGCAGGAGGACACCGTGGCACATGAGGTGAACTCTGTGGTCTAACCATGAGGCATAAGAGGGTGAGTCAGTGGTCTTGAGATCCCAACAGTAGTTACACAACATGGCTTCATGATGAGATCAGCCATACAAGAAACACTGTGTATCCTGGGGGTGGGAGAGAAAAAATAGTGGGCTTCACTGAGGGATGAGAAGGCAGGAGTGGTAGAAGCTCAGGGACAAAGAAGTCTAGCCTTAAAACATGGCTGAAAGGGCTGGGCCTTGGGTGGGGAAGCAAAGGCAAACAGAAGAGTTTAGTGGAAAAGGAAGAAGCCCAGAACTGATGTGGCACGGCAGTTGGAAGCTGCAGAGAAAACACAGGATCGTGAGATGGGGAAGGTGAGAGGGGGTATCAGAATCTGGGGTCAGAGCAGCTGGTGATGTCATTTCAGGGTGCTGAAGGCACTGAAAATCATGGGGTTAAGAATATTGCGGTAAACAGAGGATGGAGAAACAAAATTTTGGAGTTGGACAGATCTCAGTTTGAATCCCAGCTTTGCTTGTTTCCTTGCTAGGTGACCTTGGTCAAGTTGGGTGCCCAAGTCAGCGGGCTTCTCTGATCTCCAGCTTCCTTATCGGTTTGTTGCAGAGATTAAGAGTGTATGATAGGGCCTGGGGCGGAGCAGGTGCTTGTTAAGTGTGCTCCCTGCCTCCTCCTCCTGGAAGAATCATAAACATGGAGGTTTAAGGCTGTCGGTTTAGTTAATTTCCACCAACAGTGACCTGGGAATACAAAGGTAAATAAAACTAGACAATAATAATCAAGGAGATTATTATTAGAGGGAACAGATCATTGGGCAAACAAAATACAGTGTGAGGCTGGGCGCGGTGGCTCAAGCCTGTAATCCCAGCACTTTGGGAGGCCGAGACGGGCGGATCACGAGGTCAGGAGATGGAGACCATCCTGGCTAACACGGTGAAACCCCGTCTCTACAAAAAAAAAATACAAAAAACTAGCCGGGCGTGGTGGCGGGTGCCTGTAGTCCCAGCTACTTGGGAGGCTGAGGCAGGAGAATGGCGTAAAACCCGGGAGGCGGAGCTTGCAGTGAGCTGAGATCCGGCCACTGCACTCCAGCCTGGGCGACAGAGCGAGACTCCGTCTCAAAAAACAAAACAAAACAAAACAAAACAAAACAAAACAAAACCAAAATATAGTGTGATTGATGCTATGAAAACTCCAGAGGACTGTCAGAGAAAGGAAGAATTCATTAATTCATTAATGCTTTGTAAGGCACCTAATGCCAGCATGGTCTAGGATCTGAGAATACAGCACAGAAAAGCCACAAGGTTGCTGCTTTCCTGGAGCTTGCGTTCTACTGGGGACTGGGGTCATGGAGAACCTCATGGAGGTCAAATGAATGCTCAGACAGGGCGTCAAAAAATGAGTAAAAGCCCGGGCACGGTGACTCACACCTGTAATCCCAGCATTTTGGGAAGCTGAGGCAGGCGGATCACCTGAGGTTGGGAGTTTGAGACCAGCCTGACCAACATGGAGAAACCCTGTCTCCACTAAAAATACAAAATTAGCCGGGCGTGGTGGCGCATGCCTGTAATTCCAGCTACTCGAGAGGCTGAGGAGGGAGAATCGCTTGAATCCGGGAGGTGGAGGTTGCGGTGGGCTGAGATCACGCCATTGCACTCCAGCCTGGGCAACAAGAGCAAAACACTGTCTCAAAAAAAAAGCAAAAACTTGCTAGGTAAGGTTTTCCAAATAGAACACTTGGCACCGTGGCTTTTCATAGCATCCACCAGAATTCTCTCCTCTGAGATTCAGAACCATATCTCCTGCTGGTCAATATGCTGGATATTATCCCTAATTGGAGGTTTCAA